AGGAAGATGGGCACAGATGTTAGCCCAGGGCCAGTCTTCCTCAGCAAAAAAAGAGGAGGATTGGCAACAGATGTTAGCTCACGGCTAATTGTCCTCAAAAAAAAAAAAAAAATATATATATATATATATAAGAATGACCAGTAAGCATATGAAAAGATGCCCCGCATCACTAGTGATCAGGGAAATTTTTAAGAGACTGATACTACTAAGAGTTGGCAAGAACAACTGGAACTCTCATATACTGCTGATGGCAATGCAAAATGGTACAGCAACTTTGGAAAGCACTTGGGCACAGTTAAACTATACACTTACCTTACAACCCAGTAAACCCGCTCCTAGGTATTTACCCAAGAGAATTGAGAACACATACACATATAAGGACTTGCATATGAATGTTCATAGCAACGTTATAAATAATTCATAAATTCATAAAAACTAGTAACAACCCATGTGTCTATCAACTGATGAAGGGACAAATAAAATGTGATGTATCCATACAATGGAATACTACTCAGCAATAAAAAGGAACAAACTACTGATACATGCTACAACAGGAATGAATCTCAAAAACATCATGCTAAGTGAAAGAAGCCAGACTGAAAGGCTATACACTGTATGGTTCCATGTGAATGACATTCTGAATCAGACAGGTGGTTATCTGGGGCCAGGAGTGGGGAGAGGGGTGACTACAAATTGGCACAAGGGAATTTTGGGGGGACACTGGAAATATCTTGAGTGTGGTGGTGGTTACACAACTGTATACAATAGCTAAAACTTGAACTGTGCACGTAAGGTGGGTGAATTTTATTATATGCAAATTATTTAATAAAACTGTTACAAAAGTTTAAAACATATACATATATATGCGTAGAAAGTGACTCTATGCTTATCTCTTGTGGTGGGATTCGGGCGCTTTTTATTTTCTTCTCTTTGCTTACCTAAATTTTGTAAAATTTCCACAATGATGATAGAGTGCTTTTGTAGAGAGAGAAACCAACAATAAAATCCATAAACATAAATAATTGGGTTATTCAACAAGGAATCTATTGTTGAGCCAACATTGTTTGCTTGTAATGACGCCCATTTGGGTCACCTCCTTCTCATCTATCTTTTTTCAGTGGCACTTCTAAGGGGTGAGCTGAGGAAATGGATGCAAAAAGGTACAGAGCTTAATAGCAACGCTTTGTCCATCCAGCTCTCAGTTTGGCTCTCACCTTATTTTTGGATGAATACACAGTAGACTAATGATGGGGGGCTCTCATCCTGCTTTGCCAACTCCACCTTCCATTCCAACCCAATCAACTCATGCATCCTCCAGGCCCCACGAGAAAGTCCTCACAGGGCTGGGCAGATTGTGGTTCGTGGGGTGTAGGCTGGGCCCCCGCCTCCAGCTCACACTGGTCTGTTGAGTGCTGCATGGTCTTGGAGAAGGCAAGAGGCCATTTATCAGTGGAGACCCATGATTAGAATGACCACTCGTGCTGCACATGGCAGGACGGGACACGGAGTTCCTCTAAGAGCCCCCTCTGGGGTGGGCGTGCTCAGTGTCAACAGGCCTCTCTGGCTCTTTTTCCCTGTCACACATCCAACTCATCTCCTAACTTTCCGCCTGTGAAAAGGCAGTCACCTTAGGAGACCTGGCCAGCCCGTAGGTAGAGGACGCCACATCAGGAAAAGTCTGCATTGCTTGCCCTTGCATGCCTTGGGGTAGCTGGACAAGGCCCCTGACAGGGCCCAGGTGTCAGGACACAGGATTCTAGTGAGGATAATAAAGCTATACTTATGAAATAGCTTCAAGAAATATCATCCCATGGAGGGAGCATGCAATTTTCTAGCTGCTTTAGTCAAAAAGTAAGGACGAGCAGAAGCTCAGAGCAGTTGGGATGGCACAGGGGAGGGAGATGAATCATAGGTTTCCTTGAGGCCTCTGCTTTGCCACCCATAAATGCTAAGTTGGGAAAAATCTTGGGTTCCCAACCTGGGTTCTCTGTCCTCAGGGTTCACACAGACACTATTTTCAGGAACTACTTCCAACACTTTAAAACTCCACATGTTATTCACAGTAGTAAACAGGTGAAAACAACTCAAGTGTCCATTGATAAATGAATGGGCAAACAAAATGTGATGTATGTATATATACAATAGAATATTATTCAGCCTTAAAAAGGAACAAAGTACTGACACATGCTACAACATAGATGAACCTTGAAGACACGCTAAGTGAGAGAAGCCAGTCACAAAAGGACAAATACTTGTCTTTGTATGAAGGACAAAAAGGACGAATACCTCTACTTGTATGAGGTACCCACAGTAGTCAAATTCAGAGAGACGGAAAGGAGAATGGTGGTTGCCAGGGGCTGGGAGGAGTGGGGGGTTAATTGTTTAATGGGTACAGAGTTGCAGTTTGGGATATTAAAAAAATTATGGAAAGAGTGGTGATGGTTACACAACAATGTGAAGGCACTTAATGCCACTAAACTGTACACTTAAAGATGGTTACAATGGTAAATTTTATGTTCTGTATATTGTATCACATACACAAAAAAACAAACACGCCACAGGTACCCACAAGACCTCACTCCCTCACAGAAGTATCAAGTCATACCTGTTAGCATTCAGATCAAATTTCTGAATGGGCAGGCATAGCCTTTGATTGATTTTTTAAAAGAAATAAAAATAACACCAAAATATATCAGTTATGACCTAGTGTGGTTTTTTTGGCAGGCACAATCTTTCAAAGCATGGTATCTTTGGGGGAAATAAAACAAAGGGGCCTTGGTGGAAAGGTTGGCTTGAGTGAGTGCCCTGGTCTCCCCCTGCTGTAGGGGCTGTGATTTTGTGGTTGAGGAGGTCATGCTAGAGGAGAAACACACCCTAGAGGAGAGACCAAACTGTGTCTCTGGACAGATGCCACCCAGCCACAGGGACAAGCATTTAGGTTTGAGATGGCCCTTTCTCTGGCCTATTTTTAGAGCCTGGAGTCAGAGTTCTTCACAGTAAGCAGCTAGGAACTCTCTGGCCTACATGACACATAACACTGATACAGTACCAAAAATGGGGCCCATATGTGCACTAGCTACTGAGGGACAGGATGACACACCCTGTCTTGAGACCTCATCCATCACCCCCGGACACCTGGACCAGGTAGGGTTGTGATGGATCCTGGCAACCCGCTCAACACATAGGTGTATAGATATTGTATGCAGAACAGCTCAGGCCGGATACTACAAGAATAAACACAATAGACTTTCATTTCCCAGACCAAGAGCTTGAGGGTAGGGATTCTGGTTCCAAGAACATTCTGTTTCACTATCAGGCAAAAAATCTTTGTGAGAATTTCCAGCTCTCCTCCCCATTATGCCCAATCCAGCTTCCCTGAGAGGCAGGATGTGGTGTGGGAAGAAACCACCAGAAGACAAATCCTAATCCAAACCCTGCCCCTCTGTGGCCTGTGACCTTGGCCCCTTTGAGCCTCAGTTACCTTTGAAATGGCAACAACATCTCGTTCTACCTCATTTGTATGGATCAAATGAGACAGTGTCTGGGAACACGCTTGGAAAGAACATACCGTACAATTGCTTACGAATTTTCTTCTGCCTCTACATCCAGTACTTAGAGTGGAGTAAACGGGGTTAAGTCATCCTGAATTGATTTGGAAACAATCAAAGCCTCAGCGTCACATTCGCTGCCTTGACCCCTGGAAATGTTCTTTTTTATTCACTAAAATTCTAGCAACACTGTGTTTTCTATAGAGACGAGGGGGAAACGTCCAGTTAACTGCATGTTGTTGGGGCCGTGCAAGGATCACCGAGGCAATCTCATTTCCTCTCATCTCAGAAGTCTCCTTTCTTCAAGGTGATATAGGTGTGCTGGGTGAGAGCCACGTAACCAAGGGGCCTCCTGGTCCCCAACCCTTTTTAGGGTTTATGAGCTATCTGTGTTGGGGAGGGCTTTTGTGTTTGTCCTCCTGGAGGACCACAGGGCACCACAGCTTGTCGGCCAACTTCTGCGCCCATCCCCGGAGGGAGCAGGGAATGAGGCCTTGGGGAAGCCCTCGTGCTTGCCCCTCCAGTGAGCAGCTGTGTTTCCAAAGGCTGAAGGTGGGTACTGCGCTTTTGCTTCCTCCTGTCCGTGAATAAATACACCGATGCCTCCACGTGGCCTTGCAGCTGCCTCTTGCATTTTGAGTCTTGCCTGGGCCTGGGTGATGGTGGTGGGCCCTACGAGGAGAGGAAGGAGAACTGAGCCCCCCACCCCTTCTCTGGGCTCAGACCCAGAGGGCAAGCCCCCGGGGCTCATTCCACAGCTGCTCAGACATGACATCCTGTTGCAGTACTTTGAGGGAGAAGAGAACCGCCCTGCACACCTCTTGCAACAAACAAGACAAACCTACGCAGAGCTGGCAGGAGGGGTGCACTGTTCTCCTGGGAAGAGGTCAAGGGGAGTGGCTTCAGTAATACATAGGGGACTCAGGACATGGACACAAAGCATCAAATGGACAGGCCAGCTTTGCTTTTTGCTTCTTCCCAGCTGCCTAATGAGGATTCACACATTTCACTGTGCTCCACCTTAACAGGCCCTCCTGGAGAAAGGTGGAGATGATAAAACCACACAGGCCCCGGAGTCAGACAGGCTCTGGTGGGATTTCCAGCTGAGAGACTGGGCTAGCCTTATCTCCTCTCCAGGCCTCAGTTTTGCATCTGTAGAAGGGGGATAAGAAAGCCTATTCCCAAAGTGTTGTGAGAATTCAATGAGGTGATGTTTGTGGCATCTACCACAGAGGGGTTTTGGGGAAACAGCTTCTTTTCCCTTGCCCTCCTTGGCCTCTCGCTGAGGGGGACGGTAGTAGAGCAGATATCACTAACAGTGGCCCACTGCCTTGTATTTGAGAGGGAGGCACTATAGTGCCTTCTTCAAAACCCCACTGGGCTGCTATCACGTCCAGGATTCACATGTCCAATCGGCGCCCTCAGGCTCAGGGCCTGTCCTCCCTGTACCATTCAAACATCCCAGGCTGGCATGGAGAGGGGTAGATGGGAGCAGCCAGGACCCTCCCCGGCCAAGCCATGGTGGGCCACCCGGCCATTGCGCAGCGGGAGGCGGCCAGGCCTGGGGCCCCCACTGCTCGGGCCCGACTCGGAGGGCAGGCCCGAGTCGCTGGGCTGCACCTCCACAAAGACCCGCGTGCGCAGGAGCCGGCCGGGCCGCTGGGAGTAGGCCTCCTCGTGGCTGTCCCACGGCGGCAGGCAGAGCTGGGCGCGGAAGGCGGCCTGGAAGCCGCGGCGGAAGTTCTCGTTGAAGTAGCCGTAGATGATGGGGTTGGCGCTGCTGTTGAAGAAGGCCAGCCAGTGCGCGAAGGGGAAGGCGTAGACGGTGACCAGGTGCAGCTGCGGCTCGCTGAGCTGCCCGTAGTCGATGAGCAGCAGCAGCGCCCAGAGCGGCAGCCAGGACAGCGTGAAGAACAGCGCCACCGCGACCAGCATGTGCACCGCCCGGGCCCGGCGCCGCGCCCCGCGCGCGCCCTCCACCGCCGCCGCCTCGCGCGCCCGGCCGGGGCCCGCGGCCTTGAAGAGCTTGCGGGCGATGCGGGCGTACAGGACCACGATGAGCGCGAGCGGCGCCAGGTAGATGTGCGAGAAGAGCACGGTGGTGTAGACCTTGCGCATGCCCTTCTCCGGCCAGGCCTCCCAGCACGAGTAGAGCGGGTAGGAGCGGTTGCGGGCGTCCACCATGAAGTGGTGCTCCTCGCGCGTGACGGTCAGCGTGACGGCCGAGGGGCACATGATGAGCAGGGCCAGGGCCCAGATGACCGCGATGGTGACCAGCGCCTTCCGCAGGGTCAGCTTCTCGCGGAAAGGGTGCACGATGCAGCGGAACCTGCGGCGACGGAGGAAACAGAAGTGGGGGGTCTGGGCGGGGGTCCCAGTCGTCCCCGAGGTGAGAGCCAACCCTGGCAACCCTGGATGAGGGCTGGTGGGGTGTGGGCGCTTGACATTCGTCATCGCACCTCAGGCGGCGTCAAAGAACGATTCAGACGTTAATTAGGTTAGTTTGCAAGCTAACTGGTTTCTTACCTCTGAGGGAGTCAGCTCCTGGCTGAGTAGCAGAGGAACAAAGGCAAAAACAGGATTTACAAGAGAGAGGGGAGGAGGAAGCTGCAGGCAGTGTGGGAAATAATGGATCCTGTCTGTGCACTTTGGGGGGTAAAATGGTAGCTAGCAGAGCGATCAGTCTGCACATTCTGTCCTTGAGTAGGCTAAGTAAATGTACCAAAGAAAACAATTTTTAGCTGTTTATGGATTCTCCAGAAAACCTTGGGAGTTCAGGTGTGGAGCCTATGTAACAGGCTGTCCCTATGTCACATGGGCCAGCATCCTTCCAACAGTGCCACCCCAGTAGTAGGACAAGTCTGCACCATTTCCTCATTAGAACGTTTCACCAGTGATTATTATTACACCCTTAATTTACAGATGAGGACACTGGAATTCAGAGGTGTTAAGCAACTGGCTCAAGACCACACAGCTAGCAAGTAGCAAGAACCAGCCTTGAACCCAGATTTGTCTTACTCCACTATGCCATATAAACCTTCACTGTGCATTAGAACCTCCTGAAGCATTTTAGGAAATACTCATGCCCAGTTCTCCTGGCCAAAGATTCCAATCTAATTAGTCAGGGAAGGTCCCATGGCAGTTTAGGGGCTGAACCTGCTCTAGAACACAGGCCTAGAGCTGACTCCCAGCCAAGTGCTCTTTCCACTTCAAACTGTGTCCTGCCCCCCTGCCTACCCACCCTTTCCCCTTCCTGACAGCACCTCCACCTCTCCACGGTCTGTCTCAAGCCTTGCTGTCTCAACCTGTATGACTTTGGGCTACTGGTTTCATAGCATCACACACTTAAAGAAATTGCCAGGGAACAAGTAATTTTTAAAGCATGTAGTACTGGCTATAAGTGCAATAGCAGTTAATGGACGGAGGAGAATCGTGGGGCAGACCAGGAAGGCTTCCTGAAGCAGATGGGAAATTGAAGAAGACTGCAAACACCACTGGGAGAGGTTGCATACTCACACATCATTCAACGATGATAACAAAATGAAGACCAGTGAAGGAGAGGGACTTCCCCCAATTACCCAGCTAGTTAGTGGCCTTGCAGAGACAGGAACCCAGTTCCATCACCCCAGCTGCCCACTTCACTGGGTCACAAAATACTGGGTTTGATAAGGGCAGAGGTGGAATGAGGATGAGGACCCTAGATTCTAGAAAGGGCGGAGCTAAGAAGTGCCTGTATGGGGAAGAGGACAACAAGTTGGGTGTGCGTGTAGGAAGAAATAAAATCGTATTAAGAGCTGACATTTGGACCCTGTGCCAGGTAGTGTCCAGTTCTACAAGCAGAAGCTCACTGAAGCATTCCAACCACTCTTCAGGGTATTTACCATTTCACAGATGAGAAAACTGAGGCTCAGAGCAGTTAAGTGACTTAGTGAAAAGGCTCACTGAGGGGCAGAAGGGAGAAGGACTATTTGCAGTTAGGTCAGTGTTTTATTGCTTGCCAAGCCTCCTTGGCCCCTGGCTCCATTATATTAGCAGACCCATGCTTATCAGAGAATCTGATGGACTCTGAGGCTGAAAGACCAGAAGTAGCTGGAGATAGGGTGGAGATAGGGGGCCAGTAGGGCCTGGACTGCGTGGGACCGGCAGTGAGGCTGTGGAGGTGGGGTGAAGGAGCAGAGACACACACTTCCTCTGCAGCTATACTGAGGCCTGCCCATTAAGCTGGCTCCCCTGGCTCAGACTCATGGGTGGCAGGGTCTTGCTGCTCGGGGAATGAGGACTGCCTTCAAGCTCCTCACAAGCCCCAGGAATCCCTGTTAAATCTCCTTAGAAGCTGCCTCCAGGCCTTCTGGAAGGAGGTGGTGGTGTCCTCTGTAGGTCCTCCAAGTCTAGAGGGCAGCCAGCCACACAATCCTTCCCTTTATGGCTCAGGATTTAGCCCCACCCACTGCAGAGCAGCCCCAGCCTTCCAGCCAGCCCAGCATTGAAGACAGTGGCTCTTCTTAGTGCTGGGCCCAAGTCAGCCTGGGATAACCCAGTCGGGAACCCTCTCACCTTTCCACGGCAATGGCCACCAGTGTGAAGACAGAAGCCGACACGGACATGCCCTGCACCAAGCCGCTCATCTTGCATGTGGCGTTGTCGAAGGGCCACCCTGCAATGACAGAGGCCACCATAGAGTAAGAGATGTCTCACCTTCAAAAAGCCAGGGACCTTGTGCCGTCTAAGCTAGTCCCTCTGTGGCTTGGATCTTTCCTCTGTGTCCTGCTAGGTGGTCATCTGCTGATACACTTCCAGGAATGAGGAACTGACCATCCCATACCACTGTGGACAATTCTATTAAAGAGACAATTTCTATATTGACGTTGATTTCTCTCCATGAGCTTTGTGTGAGGAAGATCAGCCCTGAGCTAACATCCATGCTAATCCTCCTGTTTTTTTTTTTTGCTGAGGAAGACCGGCTCTGAGCTAACATCTATTGCCAATCCTCCTCCTTTTTTTTCCCCAAAGCCCCAGTAGATAGTTGTATGTCATAGTTGCACATCCTTCTAGTTGCTGCATGTGGGATGCGGCCCCAGCATGGCTGGAGAAGCCATGCATCGGTGCGTGCCCAGGATCTGAACCCGGGCCGCCAGCAGCGGAGCGCACGCACCCAACCGCTAAGCCACGGGGCCGGCCCTCTCCATGAGCTTTGGATCCACCCAGCCCTGCCTGGCTTTCTGCTCCCATAGCCCTGCCCCAAGTTCTAGGCCAGTGGTTCTCAACCCTGGCTGCTCACTAGAATCGACTGAGAGCTTTGAAGGAACCAGTGTCCAGGCCCAAGCCAGACCATTTACAATCAGAATCTCTGGGGGTGGGACGCAGGCATCTGTATTTTTACAATCTACCCAGGGGATTCGAGTGGCGGCCAAAGATGAGAACCACGAGGACAAATCAATCCTGACTCCCAGGTCGGGGCAGGTAGAAGCAGCTTTAGCCCCTCCTACTGGCATCCTCACTCTGATCCCTGGGCTTCTGCATTGTCATGAGACCTGGGCCACACCTGCCCTCAGGATTGGTAATCAGATCCACATCTTGGGTCCTGAGGCCATGTGTTGGTAACTGCCTGGTGTCTCTGCTTCTCTAGGCCTGGGGGCCCCACCTTATTCTTGTCTACTGTGCTTGGAGACAGGAGTCCTCTCCCAAGGCTGGGGCCCTCCTGTCACAAGCTGTGTTCCCTGAGGTGACTTCTTGCCTGCACGCATATTGAGTACCAGGCACTATCTCATTCAGTCCTCACAACAACCCTATTATTATCATCTCCTTTTTATAGATGAGAAAACTGAGGGGAGATTAATTGATTTACAGTCTCTTTGCCCACCATGGATTAGTGGTGAGAGTTCAGTCTGGGAGCTGGGGAGTTTAAATGTCATGGGAAGTCAGCATCGCTGTAGAGAGCAGATTGGTTCCAGCAATTCCTCTCCCGAGTTCATATCCTGAAGACATTCCCCCACTGTCCACAAAGATGTTCACTGCAATGTTTTTTGTAGTGATGGAGACTTGGAGGTAGTGGTGTGCTGGTAAATCAGCCCTCAAGAAAAAGCTCTGGTTTGTAGCATTTGTCAATTTCTGTGGTGTAAAATCTCCCTACGTGGCAAAGTTCATACTACCAACATGATGTCACTGAACATGGACAAGCTGGCTCCAGTACACCACTGGGTAGAGGCCACCTGGGTGCCCATCCCTGGGAGACCAGAGGGTAAAGTGTGGTGGATGCACATCAGGGAGTACCAGGCGGCAGCTGGAAGCAACAGGTTAGATGTACCCATGGCAACACCAATAGAAGGCTTAGCGAATAAAGAAGTGGAATAAGATCTGTAACCCAAAACCACTCAATTAAATTAACAATATATCCACAAAAATAACCAGGAAAGTCCCGACACAGAAAAACTTCAAGGTGAACCAGCCCCTACCAGACATTAAAACATATTATCAAACACCTATAATTAAGACAGTCTGGTATTGGTGCATGAATAGACAAGCAAGCAGACCAGTAAAAAGGACAGAAAACCCAGCAACATACTCAAGTACAGTAGAAGTTTAGTACGTGATAAAGGGGGCGTCTGAAGTCACCGTGCAAAGATTGACATTTCAATAAATGGTGCTGGGTCAACTGGAATTGACCATTTGGAAAAAGATAAAATTAGATCCATATCTCACACCATAATCAAGAGTAAATTCCAAGTGGATTGGGGATATAAGTGTAGAAAATTAAACTGTACAAGTACTAGAAAAAAAAATCCACAGGTAAATTCTTCTTTATGTGTAGGGAAAGGCTTTCTAATTATGTTTCAAAATCCAGAGGCAATAAAAGAAAAGATTGATAAATTTGACTATATAAAAATTTTTAATTGCATAGCAAAAACTTCTATAAATAAAGTCAAAAGACAATTGGCAAACTGGGAGAAAATATTTGCAACATATAACACAAAGTGGTATTACTCCTAATATATAAAGAACCCTTAAAAATTGAAGGACAAAGGACTAAAAACCTTATGGAAAAATGTGAAAAGGATACACAATTCACAGAAAAGATTTAAAAATTGTCCTTAAACCTATGAAAAAATATTCAAACCTCATTCATAATTAGAAAAATGCAAATAACCATGGCAAGGCTGTGGAGAAATGGGAGCTCTCATTGCTAGTGAGAATGCAAACTGATACAACTCTTCTGGAGAGGAATTAGGTGATACCTAATTTATGCACTTATCTTTTGATTGGGCAATCTCACTCTGGTAATCTACCCTGAATATACACCTCCAGTGATACAAAATACATATGCACAAGGATATTCATGGTAGCATTGTTTGTAATTGCAAAATATCTAAACAACCTAAATTCCAATATACAGAAGTGGTTGAACAAACTATGGTACATCTACACAATGGAGTATTATACAGCTGTAAAAAAGAATAAGGAAGAACTCTATGAACTGCTATGGAGCGATTTCCAGGATATATTGCTGAGTACAAAAAGCAAAGTGCAAAGAGTGTCTATAGTATATTACCCTTCATGTAAGAAATAAGGGGATATAGGAAAATATACACTTATCTGCTCATTTGTGCAAAGGAAGTACAGGCAGGATAAATCTGAAAATAATGAGATTGGCTACCTATAGAAGGAGGGGTAAGAATGGGGTGGAAATAATGGAGGGAAGGGGGAATAGCGATGACAGAGGAGGGACATTTCTCTGAATGTATCTTTTGGTATGGCTCTGACACTTTAGAACCATGGCAATGTTTCACATGCTCAAAAAAGAAATAAATCAAAATTTATCAGGACGGAGGGAAAACCCAAAGTGGAAGACAAACAATAACAAATGAACCTGAATGTATTACAAGTGATTAATAACCCCAGGGAAGGGGCATGGGGAAACAAGAGACTCACCTAAGTCACTTGGGAAAACAGTCTATAGACTGTCTATATACGAACTGGACACAGATACTGTACTCTTTCTAAGAAATTTGTTTCTCACAGCAGTATGGATTAGCAATACTAAAACTACCTTATGTGTATACTGAGATTGAACAAATAAGTAAATATATTGTGGATAAATAGAGCTAGATTTCTCACTGTCAGAGAAAGAAGTTACAAATGAGGAAAAGAGGCAAGTTAAAATGAATCCTGTGATATTGGACTGGAATCAGAGGTATCGTGGGTTTTCACGTACATACAGATAGGTAGATATAGAAATAAAGGTGCCTATTAAATGTGTGTGTTAGCATCCGTGTATTTCCTAGCTCTGTCCCTTCTGCCAAACCCCTGCTAAATGCCCCGCTAGTCCCTACTTAGACACTCTCAGTGATAGGGAGCTCACTACCTGAAAGACAGGACTCCCTATGTTGGAGAACACCTCAAATAAGTGGATTTTTAGGTCCTTATTCAGAGGAAACCTGTCTCCCTACCACTTCTTCCACTGGTTCTAGTTCTGTGCATGCGAGCTACCTATGAGAGGAAGACTGAAAGGTGTAGTGGTAAGAATAGGGATGTGAGAATGTGGGACTTGACGCTTAGCTGTGTGACTACAGACCAGTCCCTTAACCACTCTTAGCATCAGTTTCCTCATCCGTAAATGGGGATAACAATAACACACACTTTATTAGATTCTTGTAAGGATTAATTAAGATAATGCCGGAAGAGTATATCACACAATGCCTAGTACAAAGAAAATGATTAATTCATTGTATCTATTATTTCTAGTCTAATCCCTCAGCCACAAGACTGTCTTGCAAGTTTGAGACAATAGCATCTCGGCCAAGAGACCAGGGCAGCAACGATTTCAGGGGTGAGAGGTACTCCCTCCGCCTCCACCGCATCCACTCACCAGTGATGAGGTTGTCCACAAGGGTGGTGGGCATGCAGAAGATGCCCACTAGCAGGTCGCTGACAGCCAGGTTAAGGATAAACATGTTGGTGACGGTGCGCATGTGCCGGTTCTTGAGCACGATGAAGCAGACCAGGGCGTTGCCCACCATGCAGAGGAGGAAGATGAGCACGTAGGCCACGATGAACATGGCCGCCACTGGTGACGAGTGCTGGTAGTAGGACGAGAACGTGAGGTTTGCAGCCGCGGTGGCCCTGGTGTTACTCCCATTCTGGCTTGGGCTTGGGGGCCAGCTGCTGTTGGGAGGCTGGGAGGGGTCCCCTAGGACAAAGGAGCATATGGGTCAGGACCCTAGGCAAAGAGGAGATGACTGACTTCTCACCACTGGTGAGATCCTTCTGTGCTCCAAACCCTGCCTGTGCCCTAGTACCCCAATCACCTGCTCAACTCCAACCACAACTGGGTGCACTGATCCAAGACTTTCAACCCGCAGCCACTCGCATCCTGATCTCACACCTCCCACCCCGCCTGGTCCACGACTCTTTTCCCAGTGTCAGCCAGTCTCCGTTAGCACACAGTCTCCTCTCTGCCCCATCTAGGCTCCATCCTTCTCAGCCCTGCTCCCTGCCCTAGAGGCTGAAGAACTACATCACCCAGGTTCCCTTGCCCTCTGGTTTTTGACCAAGTTCAGCCAATGGGAGGCACTGAAGAAGACTGAAGGACTGGAGAGAAGTCAGGGTATTCATCTCCTGACTCCCTCCCTGCCTGGCCCACTTCTGCCTGTGGGGCTGTTTTTATGGGCACAGCTCCTGTTAGGTGACTCCTGTTCCATGGCTCTAGCTCTTGCGGGGCCACAGTGACGCTGTTTCCTCTCTGCAGTCCCTGGATGCTTCACCATCCCTTGCTGGTTCTCTTACCCTCCCCTCCCCCCTGTAAAGTCCCTCCATTAACTCTCTTCAGTTAAACCCTTTCTGAATGCACCGCCTATTTTCTTCTGGAACCCTGACTATTACACCCTCAAAATCTTGATGTCCCTCCTCATCATCTCCACAGAATTTTAGTTGGGAAAGGCAAGAAGGCAGTAGAGGAAGAAAGAATGAAAGGGGACTGTGAACCAGGGCTAAGGAGCAAAGGCACACATTAAAGTCACCAGAAAGCCATCCCAAGGCAAGGCTAGCGCTCATCCTTCACCTCTCCCCGTCGTGGTGATCAGCTGCTTCACCTGCACAGCGTTTCACAGAGCACTTCCATATCTATTATTTTATCTAACCCTCCCAGCTACCCCATGAGGGAAACAGGTTAGGAATTAGTCCCTTTTGAAATGGGACAACTGGGATCAGAGGGATTCTGTGACTTGCTCAAGGTGGCACAGGAGTGGTCCTGTGCCGAGCTGGTTCTGCTCTGAGAGTCTCGCAGTCAGTCCCAGGCTTTACTGTGTGTTTCTCCAGCCTCGTTTGGAAGGGAGCAGCTCGGTGTCCAACAACAGCTCCTCTGGGAAGCCATTAGATGTGATGACTCACAATGTTGTCTTGTAAACTCTCCTCCTGCCTTCCTGTGGGACTGAAGGTGGCCGGTTCCAGGGGATGAACAGTCTTTGGGGAGTCTTCTGTTGTGTCCAGAGCTCAGCCATTGGCCTGGAGGCCTGCTGGAGGCTTGGGACCTGGAGGCTAGAGACACCCTGGGGGAGCAAGGGCCAACGTGCTGGCACGATGGGGCTCGCAGGGACCAGCAGGTGCAGTGGGGGCACTCAGGTTCGGGGTGGAGGGCCTGTTGGTGGGGGTGCAGAAGCTGGAAGCTTCCAGTGCACAGTGAGAGGGAGAGATGATACCCTTCTGCTTAGGCCCTCTGGAGGCATCCAGTTGCATCCAACTGTCTTTATTTTAATATGGAAAATGTCAAACATGTACAAGAAAGAATGTTTTAGTGAACGTACATAGGAGTATATAGTTTAACGAACCATTACAAGAGAGAAGAATATAAAGAACCTCCACAGATATATCATCCACCTTCAACAATTATCAACTCAAGGCTAAGCTTGTCTCACCCATTCCCCCACCTCTCTTTGGATTATTTTGAAATGAATCACTTCCTTTCATCCATAAATATTTCAGTTTGTATCTCTAAAAAATGAGTCAAAAAAAATAACCATGGTATCATTATCACACCTGACAAAATTAACAATTATGTAATAATATTATCAATTATCCAGCATCTAGTATTCAAAATTCTCTGATTGTTAGATAATTTTTAAAATAATTGGTTTGTTTGAGTGACAGTCCAGACAAGATTTCTAAGTGGCAAACCACCCCAAAATTTAGTGGTGTGGCACTGTGGCTTGGCAATGTGGGTGGCCCTTCTGCAGGTCTCTCTTTGGATCACTCATGCAGCTGTGGTCATCTGATGGCTCGACTGGGACTGGAAGGTCCAAGATGACCTCCCTCACATGGCCTGTGGTTAGTGCTGCCCTGTGTTAGTTCTCCACGTGGCCTCTCCTCCTCCAGGAGACTAGACTGGGCTTCTTCACAGCTTATTGGTCACAGGATTCCAAGACAACAAGAGAAGAAGCTACAGGCTTCTTAAGATCTAGGCTCCAGAATTTTCACATCATCACTTCTGCCACATTCTGTTGACCAAAGCAAGTCACAAAGTCAGCCCAGATTCAAGCCAGAGGAGAAATAGTTTCCATCTCTTGATAGGAGTGGCAACATTACATTGCAAAAGAGTTGTGGACACAGGGAATTGTGATTCGTGAAGGTCTGTTATTATAAAATCTACCACCTTCTCCACATTGCATTTGGTTCGTGGAAATTAACAAACAGAAAACTTATTAAAATGGAGTCAAGAGGCCAAAAAAGGGAGCTCTCACACCCTATAATGATTACAGAGCCCAGCAGGAAGAAGAAAGTCTTCTTCTTCTTGCCCAGCAACAGCTCAAGCCAATGAGAGACTGTCACAACTCAGCCAATGAAAAGCCACTACACTTGGAACTCCCAGTCTCCTTCAATGGGCTCTGTTTACAATAGCAATCCCACTTACTCTTCCCCTCTATAAAAGTTTCTCCTGGGCCAGCCCCGTGGCGTTGAGGTTAAGTGTGCATGCTCCACTGCTGGCGGCCCAGGTTCGGATCCCGGTCCTGCACCGACACGCCTCCACAGCTTGTCAGGCCATGCTGTGGCGGCATCCCATATAAAGTGGAGGAAGATGGGCACAGATGTTAGCCCAGGGCCAGTCTTCCTCAGCAAAAAAGAGGAGGATTGGCAATGGATGTTAGCTCAGAGCTGATCTTCCTCACAAAAAAAAAAAGAGTTTCTCCTCCTCTTGCTGCTGGGGACTTGAATGTGGCTAGCCATGGCTGCAGACCCTGAATTACAATATTTTGGTGATCCTGAATAAACTCATTTTTGCTGGAGAAATAACTGGCTGTTTATTTGATTAATGTCAACATTTTGATGGCCCATCAAGGGATCCAGAAAAGACCCCCGAAGACTCCAAGGCTGGTGAGCAAACAGGAACGATACCCACAAAAGAGCCCATTGAGCTCACTGCTTTTCTCACCGACCCTGGAGTTTGAGGGTAAGTCTTTCTCCTGGATCTGAGCTTCTGCCTTTTTTGCATTTGAGGCTCTCCAGGCCTTGCTTGAGATCTATTTTAAGACTTCGTCCTTTTCTGGCTAAGCCCTTGTTTGTCTGCAAGTACTCACTCGGTGGCACATCGGCCTGACTCTTTGAATCAGGCTGTTCCTTCAAACTGCACTAGCCTTTGGTCCGATTCCTTCTGGAACTGGACTGTTTCTACTGAAACTGGTAGCCTCGGGTCCGACTTTTGGACTGTTCATTGGAACTGTGCCATCCAAAGCTTGGCCCGACTCTCTTGGGAGCAGATTGTTCCTTAGAACTGTATTGCTCAACCTTCGGTCTGATTCCCTTGGGAACCGGACTGTTCTTTGGAACTGCATTGATTCAACCTTCAGTTCACCTTAATGAAATGGGAGTGTTCTGTTGGGACTGGCTGGTATTAAGCCCGCAGGCTGTTGGAGCTGCTCAAGCTGTTTGAGTTGAAAGCTGTTTAAGCTGTTTAAGCTGTTTGAGCTGTTCAGACTGTTTGAGAATTATTCCTTTGCTCTAGAGAAAAACCTCTAAGAAATGAGATCCCAGTTATCTAAATATTTTGAGGGTGCCCCCTGCCCCCCCAGGGACCCTGGATGATTTTATCTTTAAAAACCGCAGTCACTCCTCATGCACATTTTTAATTAAATGGACCAATTTATCTAAAAGTAATTTAGAATACCAATCAATGGCCATTATGGGGAACATTTGGACTGCCCAAACTTTTGTTTCTTTTTTTTTTTTGCGAGGAAGATTAGCCCTGAGCTAACATCAGATGCCAATCCTCCTCTTTTTGCTGAGGAAGATCAGCCCTGGTCTAATATCCATGCCCATCTTCCTCTACTTTATATGAGATGCCGCCACAGCATGGCTTGATAAACGGTGCATCGGTCCACGCCCAGGATCCGAACGTGCAAACCCAGGGCCGCTGAAGCGGAGCGCGCAAACTTAGCCGCTGCACCACCGGGCTAGCCCCCCAAATTCCTTTTTTTAAAACTCAATCAGACAATCATAGCTCTGTAATTTCCAAAACTGAATGGAACGCCTATTTTGATTGGTATTTTGAGGCTTCCAAACGTTACCAGGAGTCTAAAATTGCCTCTTTGCAAAATAAAATTTTAACATTAACTGAGGTGAACAAATAATTAAAGATAAAATGGCTTCCAAAGCCTCACGTTCCTCTACCTTGGCTCCTTGTGCTCAGGCCCCACCTCTAGCGCCATCTTCCTCCTTCCCTTCTATGTGGCCTGCACCTCCTCTATATACCTCACTCTCACCGAACTTCCCCTTTCCCCTGAACCTTTCCCCACTCCCTCTTCCTCTGAACCTATGAGAACCTGTCCCTTTAAAATTAAGCCTTCTGAGGCTCCAAAGTCTAAACCCTTAATTTCTTATATTCCCTGGACTAAAGCTGAACTGTGAGCCATAGTCAAAGATTTTCCAAAGATAACCGAAGATCCTCACAGATTTGCTGAGGAATTTAGTATAGTAATTCAAACTTATCAACCTGGTTTCTCTGACTTATATCAGCTGGTTCATACGTTTCTCGGTGAAGGCCAGGCCCGGCATTGAATGAAAACTGCTAACTGGGAAAACCCTGTAAGGTCTCTAGAATTACAACCAGGAGACCAACCCATTGACCTGTTGTATGATCAGGCTCGGGCAATCGCTAGGCGACTTCATCAGGCACTTCCTAGGGCTTTCCCAAAGCCTGCT